CTGAAACCATATAGCTGGAACACAAGGACGGGTTCTGTTAAAGAAAACTAATCATGTAAATTTTAAATGGCATTGAAGTTAGGAACAGTGAACAGGATATTGATTTACCCTAAAAACTCAACCAAAATTTAAAACACAGATTGTGTGATCCTTGCACTATAATATTGTCACATTTTATAGCACAGATTGTTTGATGACATCCAATATTCTCTGTCTAAGTCTAAACAATTTTTAAGGCCATATTGCTTCTGTAGCTCATTTTGAAATGCTTATTCCTGTAATCTGTAATAATGTATATTTTAAATTTAAATTAAAGCTCCTATTTTTCTATTTCAGATACAGTCAAGGATAATCACCCATGGGATTAATTGATGCAAAAGATGGGCACCTATAAGAATTAAATTAAGTTTCAGTTCGTCTTGTCTCTACCTGAAATGACCCTGATCTCTGGATCTTTAAAAAAAGCCAATAACATGGAGCAATTTAAAGGCTTTAAATCTTATCCAAGACTTTTACAAAAAGATGTTGATATCGCCCAACATATTGAAGTGTTTAATGATTCTGATACAATAACTAATTACGGTGGTGATTTTGTCAATGATTTTAAAATTGAACAGAAAAGTTTGTTAGAAAAAAAAAGAAATATTGACACAAGTGAAGATTTTGAACCAAGTCCTATTGCAACATTGTATGCAAATGCAGATGTAAAATATGAACAGCAAGAGGATGATCTTCTGCCTGCATGTATTGAAAATGCCTTACATGCTTCAGTGAACAGAGTAGAAGATAATGAAGACAGTTGTTCAATGCACTCATTTAAAAAAGAATCAGCTGCTGGAAGTAACTGTAGCGAAGATGATTCGTATGAGTTATTAGTACATCAAAAAACACAAACAGAAGAGAAGAAATACAGATGTGATGTGTGTAATTCTGTATTCCAAGAAAAGCACTGTCTAGTGAATCATGTAAAACAACATCTTGTGGAAAAACCTTACAGATGTGATATTTGCCCTTCTGCTTTTATTACGAAAGTAAGTCTCCTTAATCACCAAAGATGTCACACCAGCGAGAAACCATATAAATGTAAAATTTGTACAGCTGCTTTTGCTGTAAAAAAGTCTCTAACTTTACACCAAAATCTTCATTCTGAAAAGATGCCCTACACTTCTGGTGCATTTATTAGAGAATCAAATCCGGCTGAGGACCGTCCATTCTATTGTAAAGTTTGTTCTATTGCTTTTCCTTACAAATCAACCCTCGTTTATCATCAAAGGCGACTCCATACTGGAGAGAAACCATTCAAATGTGAAAATTGTGATGTTGCTTTTTGTCAAAAGTTTCAACTGACTGAACACCAAAAACTTCATATTGAGGAGAAACCGTACAAATGTAACATTTGTTCTGCTTCTTTTAGTTGGAAAACAAGTTTAAATAGTCACCAAAAACTCCATACTGGAGAGAAACCTTACAAATGTAGCATGTGTACTGCAGTTTTTTCATGGCGATCTGGGCTGGTTTCACACGAAAGGCTTCACACAGGAGAGAAACCTTACAAATGTATCATTTGTTCAGCTGCTTTTTCTCAAAGTGGACAGCTTGCTCGCCACAAAAGGACACATACTGGAGAGAAACCCTATAAATGTATCATTTGTTCTGCTGCTTTTTCTAGAACAGAAAACCTAGTTGAGCACCAAAGACTTCATACTGGAGAGAAATCTTTTAAATGTAACATTTGTTCCGCCACTTTTGCTCAAAAATCAAATTTGTCTCATCATCGTAAACGGCATGCCTAAAAGAAACCCCCACCTTGTTATATAGTTCTTCTGCTGCAAAAAATCAGAAGTAATCTCATACTTTGCAATTATGGTCAAGAGAGTCTGTCCATATCATATCGAAGAAATATGCCCTTGGGTCACAGTATCTACTGATGCTTAATCTGAAGTAGATAGATGCCATGGCACAAGAAGCATACTACTACCATTGCCACAAAGAGTTAGAACCTGGAAGAAGTGGAGAACATGACAACAGAAGTTGTGTACACCATCTCTAGGTCAATCTCAATTGATTTTATGACCCAAAGTCTCACCAAATCAAGTTCATCTGGAACAACTCCAACCTTCCTGTGTGGACCAAACTGCTCATCCATCAGGCATGGATGCTCAGTACTCCACCATATGGCCGAGAAGCGTTACCACCTAAATGTCACCTTAAAGTTAAAGTGCTTGCGCTCTTCATCACAGTCCCTACTGAGAGTTCCCAATGTGGATGGAAGTCATACAGAGTGCACTGTTTTGAAGCTATAGCGCCTAAATTATTGAACAGTTTGCCTCAGACTTTGAGGGAAATTAAAAATGATAAAAATCATTTAGAAGCCATTTAAAGACATTTGCTTTAAATAGATTTTATGACATCAGAGCACTTTGAGCATCCTAAAATAACACGGACATAAGTGCTATACAAGTAATCAATCATCATAAATGAGCCTCAAGTAGCTGAAACTGAAACTCAACAGCTTCCACCAAATAAGTGTGAGGCCCATTATGCAGATTACAGTGGCAGGACAATCAACACAATAGGGGTCGTTGCATATGTCCTCCATTTACAGCAAGTCACTTTCGCAGGCTTGGCTACATGCACAAGCAACTGCTGTACTCCTAGTGCTTGCAAGAAGTCTAACAGGCTGAAGAGCTGTGAAACAAAATACTTGCTGGCTCAAAGTGCGAACAGAAGTCTAAAGAACAACAGCCTTTGGTGTGCACCTTTGGATAGTGCAGCAGAGACTGCCATTCTAAAATTGCAGTTTTGAGCTTGCGGGGATGCAGATAGGAAAGTACATGAATTCCTTCGAAGATTAATGGATTCTGAGGTCATTTTTCAGATATCATGTATTTGGCCTCATGTTATTTATATGGAATTTCGATCCATTTTGTGAATAATGCATTTTTTCCCTAATGATTTAACTATCTTAGAAAATAAAAATATGATCTCAGTTTACTTTCAAGGTTACCATGTTTTTGAAGTAAAGGTCTTTTTAATTTAAATTTTTTCTGTACCCTTCTCCACTGCACTATTTGTCACCACCATCTACACAATTCTAACTGGGATATATTTATATCTCAAACAGTTACTTTTATTGAAGTTCAGGATATGAACAGAAGCAATTTAGAAATTTAACAAATGATACTTTCACATTATAAATATTTTTTTTTTTTGTCTTGATTAAACCCTCAAGTTCCAAGATAAGCATCATCCTCGGAGAATTATTGAAACTGTTTGAAACCACTGACAAGTTTAAAAAGTGATATGTTTTTAATTACATTCTGATTAAAATGTGATACATCTCTTAAAAATAAACTTTATACTGTGCTTTTTGCAAATTTTGAGCTTTTGATATTATTTTGCCATGAGATTGGTCCCATAACTTACAAAAAAATGAGATATTTTTTTATAAGATAAATATGCATTTTATCAGCTTTCTTGTCTATTTTTCAATAGTGCGCCCAATTACAGAAAATGATTCCCCCACTTTTTATCTTGATTACTACAGAAAGTTGGTAGTAAAATATGTTTTGGAAATTTTCTTGACAGTCTATCCTTTTTACCATATTCTCCAATGACATATTTCCATGAATCCACTAATTTCAAAATTATGAATTTTAACAAAATAATTTAAAAATTAAATCGCAAATTTGGTTAAATATGAATTTCTTTTTGGTTGGTAGGAGTTGCTTGGAAATGTCATATTTTTCTATAGTCAGTGTCCAAAATTATAAAAATGTTTCATTTAATACCAGTAGTAATAGTAATCCTTTTTTTCATACAATGTGGTAAATTGTCATTACCACTCTATTAAATGCATAGTTCAAATTTCTCAAAAGTGTGGATTTTAAAAATCATTATTTAAGAATGAACTTTCTCATAGCTACCGTAATTTCAAAAAAAAAAATTAATTGTGATATGCTCTAATGAAATCTTTCAAGACTTCTCATCCCCTTGAAAATATGCTCTAATGAAATCTTTCAAGACTTCTCATCCCCTTGAAAATCTTTTGTCGTCTACGCAAAATTTGAAGAAGCTAACGTTTATGTACAAGGGCCATCTCCGAATCAACAAACCAGCTTGCCGCATTTAATTTTATTTGATTCTTGCTGTATTAACTCCCTTCTCCCCCTGAAACCCTTGAGTGGTTAATTGAAAAATTACGCCACAATGTTTTCCTGTCAATCCTTATTGTATAAATTGGATGTATTGTGTCAGAAGTGGTGAGGTGTCAGTAATTATAAAGTATTTGTGAAATCTTTTTTGATAGATGTGGATGGAAGAAAGACATTTCGGGCCATGGAAAATGCCTCGATGTGGAGATCCATCCCATGTTCGTGTTTTTCCTTTTATATGAGTATTTATAAGCTATACAAATTTTTAAAAATCGTGATTTTGCAGTTGGGCTAGGTTGGTCATGACCATTTAATGTAATGCTCAGTTCACACGATCAAATTTTCTTCAAATTCTCATCAAATTTCTTTTTGAAAGGACTATTTAGTAAAACAAAATAATGCATTGAAAAAGAGATTTGAAGCAAATTTTTTTATCTTGTGAACTGAGCATTAATCTTTATTACTTTATGGTGCACAAAACTGAACGTCTTTCCTGTGCACGGTGGGTAAGATAGCTTTGCTCATTACATGAGAACATTGTGCGTCTTAATGTTGTGAAAATGATCATTATTGAATAATCCTTCCTAGACCAAGGTGGGCAACCTTTTTCCAAAATAGCCACAGTTGTGGCAAATGAAAAGTAAATTTCGCCATACTATTTTTAAATGATTTAAAAAAACTACCGTTAACTCAAATGAGAGTACTTATATACATAATATAATTATAAAGTGCTTGCCTTGAATTATTTACATTAGCATTATTCTTAATGTTTGCTTGCAACTGAATCAAAGAAAGGAAATATTAAAAAAAAAAAAAGATAATTCTTTTATTTTCAATTTTTATTAGCTTCAGAAACATTTCATCTCATATCCTAAAGCATGACAGTATCTTAAGTGCTTTTTGTTTAACACACAGTGTGTCACCCAGGAAAGATTGATTACCTCACTAAGTTGGCTGGTATTTGTCCATTCAGTGGTTAAGCATGTTTTCTTGAGGTTTTTCTACTCTATAACTGCTAATTTGAGTCCACTCGACTCAGCTGAATACAAATACCAGTACTTAAAATAAATACCAGATGGTGACCACAGTTTAAGCACTTAATCACACAAATATCATGGCTTTTAAAAATTTAAGAATGCAAAATTTTAAAACAATTAATGATTCATTTCAATCATTTAATTTATCCACAATAAATCAATGTCAACAAATTTTATACAAGTCTTTCTTGCAAGTTATACATATATTATTTACATACTGCGATATCAAACTGATCATTAGTGGAGTGAATTTACTTTATCGATGATAAATGTGTAGACTGAATTCTGCTTCCTCAAGCCACGTATAGTAATAGTAGTAGTACCATTCCATTATTTCAACTGCCCCAATCATCAAAAATTGTGACCAATAAGACAAACTAAGAAACCAGTTGACATATCAAACAAGTAACAGCTCTGTGAAGAAAATAATAAAATCATGGCTATTTCCTGTCATTTTAGTAAATTCCTTGCCCAATTCATAATTACTGCTTACTGCTTCGTTCAATCAAGTGTATTTTCAAGATAATTATTTGTATTGATGTACCATTGCTATTGTACATGCCTGAAAAAACTCAGCTTTTGTATGTGGTGATATTTTCCACTTTTTATAATGTTCAGATTTGTTCCTACAGCTATTTAAATTTATGAGAATAAAAAACTTAAAAAATATGACAAAAAAAATATTCGATATACATTAATGAACATTGAGTGAAGATCTATTGTTCTAAAAATAAACATAAGAATTATATTGCAATATCTATTTTTTCCTCAGGTTGTTAATTATAAGAAAACAGCATACAAATATTTAACACCAAACTATTACAGTCACTCAGTAAAAGCAGGTATGCTTGGTGAAAATTGTATCTAAATAAGTCACGGTACAATAAAAAAATTTCATACTGCTTTAAAGGCTAGATGCAGAATGTAGCAATCAAGGTACAGCTTTAGGTCTTCCGGAATTAAGTATGGTTTTGGTGACACAGTCCATCACCATTCCTTAGTTTAAGATAGAGTTGGATAGTAAGGGATATTATGGTCGGGAGAGATGTTCCCACTCCTTAACAGGCTTTTACTTGAACATTGTTTAATAACAAATGTCAGAGCCAACGCATCAACAGCTCAATGTACGCCATATGTGGTCATCTAAACACTTTTTCACCATACACGGTATCTAATATTTTATTTTTCTTTGCAATTTTCTTTATAAAAATTTTGCATTTATGTAGTATTCATAAAGAAAACTAATAGCACCAATGAAAGAAAAAAAACCTTCAGATTTTACGGAATGATTCCAAACTTTAAAAGAAAAAAAAGTTTACGGTGAGAAAACAAAGGAAAAAATAAAAAGCAATATTGGAAGAGGGCACTTTCAAGATGTAATAATCTAAAAACCCCAGATTAAAGCTGACCACATAAACCATCCATGCAGCAATTCTATTTCTCTCTTTTTTAAAACACTCACCACTTTTTCCTCATAATGTGTATGTAAAAGTGAGGAAATGTCCACCACCAGTAACTAGCTATTTAAGGTTATTAGTAGAATGTCAGAACTTTTTGAGCACAAGATTAATGATCGATTCTTGAATAATATCAACTAGTAATATTTGTAACAACAAAACTGAAGGATTTATCATTTTGATGTTGGGTTAGCTGAGACAGTGATCTGGTCCTCAGGCAGATACAGGCTGCTCAAGCCTAAGTTGGAGGCATGAAAGTGCAAAGGCAGATTAAAATTAAGAGTGTTATGAACAATATGTCCTGATCAAATATACATCAAGACATTCTAACAATCAGATTCGCAGAGATGTGTCTTCAGATATTTAATGGTGCATCACGAGGGAGGAGCCCCATTTCTTGTAAGCACACAGCAGCACATTGAGCTTTGGCAGTTTTCTTGTTGGAGCCTGGTACACTAGGTTGGTATTCAATATTATTCACTTTAACCTGAATATAAAATGTACACTTTAAAATAACCATAAATATAAGCTGAGGCCTTTTAACCAAATTAAAATTATAATTCTTAATTTTCATGTGTAAGACTTAATTACAATCTTAAAAACAATTAATTGCCTTGGTGTTGCACATAGTGCAAAGTATAATTTTTACATTACAAACTATTTTATAATGCCTGTGTTCAGGATATAGAGCCATTTGTTGAAAATGCATAAATATGTGGTACAATTTACATCTATTAAAATCTTGTACAAACTGGCAACAGATTCCACACAAAAAATTAATTACCTTAAACAGAAAATTTTTCTTATGGTCTGGTCCACTTTCATCAACGACTGTAAAAATTGGTGGTCCCCATCGTCGTCTGTTACACAATTCCATCAGGGCTGAAACTGGGTGCTTATCTGTTGTACAAAAAATTGAGTCAGGTGAATACCTGAATATCCTATTTCAAATTGAGTATAAAAAAAACAAGTAAAAATAACCTACTATTTTCCCCATTTTACTGACTGCCCTAGAAATGTATGCATCAACCTCTGGAAGGGTAAATTGATTCCAGAATAAGAGTACCTGGCAAAGGTTAAGTGTCTGTAGCAGTTTGAAGTATTAAAAAAAAATTACTTTCCTTCACGTTAAGGCCTTATAAAACTACAGAGCCAGCCCTTATGCAAATATATTCCGCCCTTGTGCAAATACATTTGTTCTGAGTGGACATAAGAATAGTTTTTAAAAATTCTGATTAACCCAAAAGTTTTTCCTAGGATTAAAGAAAGAAGAGATATTTAAAGCACAATCTTAAATATATCATGAAATCAACAATTTTTGCTTACTTCCATGCAATGCAATGTCTAAATGATAAATAATATGGTGACATCCAAGTTACATCTTTAAGATAATTTAGGGGTCATGTAGAATGCAATGAGAACACTCAAGTAAAATATGAGGCAATAATAAAATTTGGCATGTCAAAATTAGAGTAAAAATGTTTGTAATTTTTTTTTTTTTTTGTATGCACTGCAGAGAGTTTAAAGAATTAGTCAAACAAAAAAGTGTTTTCAAATTTAATTGATATAAAGCTTCCTTACTTGACAAATCTTTGGCTCTTGGTACATTTATGATCTGAGTCTTGTGTTTTGAGTTTTCTGTAGCTGTCGTCAAACCTAAAATAGAAGAAAAGGCTACATTATGGATGTTACACATAAAAATATATGTAGCTTAACTAGTTGTCTGAAAGAAATACACATCAATTGGTATCCAAACTTTTGCCAAACGCCATAAGTTAATATTTGAAGTTCTCATGACAAGATTTAGAATAACCTTGATACATTTAGGAAATTTTATTTTTTAAAAATGATACAATTTATGCAAATATTACAATGGAAATGTGTAACAATGTCAAAACATAAGGGAAAAAACACTTTTTAAAATGATTTATATACATATAATTTTATTTTTTACTAGGATGTGCTTCAACAAGACCTTTGTAAAATACAACCTTGAAAATATTATTTTACCCCAAGTGCACTTGTTGAGAGGATATATGATAAGCTTTGATATAGCAAATAAGACTTTCATTGCTCTGACTTGAAGTTAGTTGTAGATTTATTAGACTTAAAACACAAACTAAAATTTTCTTTGTCCAACAATTGTTAAAAAATAATTAACACACATCAACTTAATAATTTAAAACTGTTGTATTCTAAATACAGAAATCATATTTATTGCAACCTGGGAAACCCCTGCTATATTTTTTTATATTGTTTTAATTCATTTTGTTAAAATTGGTTGGATAGAGGAATTTCGGATCCTACTATTCTTAGAAATGTATATTTCTTTTTCAGCAGAAAACTAAGTAGAATTTTTAAAAAATTAAATTACTAAAGACAAAACAATAATAATATAATAATAAAAGTGAAGGGTAATTGTTTCATAATTGTTTTTTTAAAGGTTTTCTATTTATATGAAATCTGAAAAGAACCTGTTAATCATCTCACCTTTTCTATCAATTTTAATATCCAACATCAGTGGCTCCTTGTTTCCTTCATTATTCTTTCCAAGGCCTTCCCCTTGCTTCCAACCCATCTTCTGAAGCAGGAACATTCCAATGCCACCATTGACTGGGGCAGCTTGTGTCAGCTGGGTCTGTAGGTGAGACAACAAGGTGACAGATCTGTTCCAAAACTAGACTTACTAGACAAGTGGTTTAGCCTGAGCACTCTATCCATTTGCGCAGACAGCTAATGTCAATGTTAAACAACTGGTTTAATTTAAGATTAAGAATGTGTGTTGTATGAGAGAAAAACAATGGCAGCCAAAGATACTTGGTAATTTGAGCAAGTAAACAAACAAACATCATATGCCCAAGCTTCAGTAATATGAAAGAAACTAGTACTTACAAGCAGCCATTGCAAATATATTTCTTTTTTTATATACAAAAATAATTTAATCAAAATTTGTGAGTTTAATAAAAATTTCTCCCCGAATTTCTGCTAATTAAATTGATTCCTAAAAATGCATATACAGCATAATATTTTCTGGTTTTCCAACACAAGATTAAAAACACCAACAGTTCCCTGACCTGAAAAACAAAGACATATAGAGCCATAGAAAGATGAGTACGGTAAATAGAAAATGATAAAAATTTGAACCAAGCCCCACCTTGTAAATACTCAGCTTATAAGCAAGGATTATAGGCCTTATTCAAAATGTTAAAATAATTAGAGGGTTTGATCTGATTATATTTTTATATTTTTCATGTTTAACATATTCAACATTTATTCAAGAGAACCAAAATTTAAAACTGTGTGAGTGAGTGTCACAAATGCCTTCAACAACCAACAGATTCTAAGCCAGACAAGTCTTTCAGTGACAGTAGTTCAAACAATATTCTAAGTCAGAAATCACTATCAGGTAGCCAAATAAAACTGAGTATTTTTACAAGGAAGGGTACTCACCTAAAAGCCCTTAGAACTCACAGTGGAAAGCCATTTTTCTCTTTATATGACAGTAGTTTTGGGGCTTGAAAGCCCTCTGCAACATATGGCTCAAGTTCATCCCTGAATATGTCAAGTTCTTATCTTATGCTTTAAAAAATGCAACAATCTGTTTCTGACAGTTTAGTCAGGAATTGCATTTTTTTTTTTAAACATCAAAAATCATATTTTATGATTGTTTAGCACACAAGCTTTGTTGCATTTTTTAAAGCACAATGTTTAAAAATATATACATAAAACTAATGGATTTGATTTTAAACCTTTTCAAAAAATTTTTTTTTTAAACATCAAAAATCATATTTTATGATTGTTTAGCAAACAAGCTTTGTTGAATTTTTTAAAGAACAATATTTAAAAATATATAAATAAAACTAATGGATTTGATTTTAAACCTTTTAAAAAAAAAAAAAAAAAAGAAAAGAAACTTAATTTATTATCAAAACAACTTGAATTTTTTTTAAAGCAGTAGTTCACCCAAATGAAACAATAAAAATTATTTCAGATAATATAAAGCTTTTCAAAGAAACCTTTTTTTTATTCACCCATAGAGTAATAGAAAATTCTTTATCTTCGAAAAATATTTACAAATTTAAACAGAAATTCTCTTTCACTTTTAAGAGACTGAGTTAAAGCTTTATATTATATCTGAAAGTTTCAAGAGCAGAGCCATCGCATACCAACACACTAGTTTATTCCCAAACTGTTAAGTGGCTCAAACGGCGGCCTGGCCACAGCAAGCCCTCAGAGGCCATAAGGAACTAGTGTGATGGTATGTGATTAAGCTCCTCGATGACGTTCTCTGAGCAACAAGGTGTTGGTAGATGCAGCCTGTAAAAAAAATATGGAAAGCAATGGCTTATTGCCTGCTGGACACATGGATATCATCAAATCTTTCAGTGTGAAAAATATGATGATATGCAAGCACTATATGAAGTTAGGTTGTTGTGTTAAACAAAAAAAATGTAGAAATAGTCTTTGTTACAAAAAATGACTTAGAAAATGTTTAACTCTATGAAGTCAACTATGGTGCATATATGGTGACTTAATTATAAACTGATCCTTTTTTTTAATGTACAAATAAAATTATTAATCTTGCATATTGACTTGAATTACAACCATAAGAAAATAAACATGTTTATTTTTTACCAATTTTTTTACTGTAGCAATGCTGCCATACATGTTAATTAATTTTAGATTGTATTATTTTGACAGTACCGGTACAAAATAGAATAAAGGGTGAAAAAAAAAGTAATTCAGAATGAGAGATGAGAATCACAATCAACATAACAGAAGGTGAGAGACAAATTCATTTATTAAAACTACCTTTCTGGCCCATGCTTGATGCTTCTTATCACCAATGAGCTCCTCTTGAGATAGGACATGTGCCCCTGTGGTCCCTAGAAACTGGCCAGGTAAATGCTTGGATGTAGCCCACCTACTGGCCTGACCAATAGAAAAAGAGATCATGATGATTGATATTAATTTTGTATTGCCTAGCATTTCAGGACTTATGCCTTAATTATCTAACAAAAATACTAGACTAAACCAAAACTCTATTGCCTCAGTATGAAGGGCAGATGCTGAATGACTACTGGATTTGAATAATGATGATGATGTATAATGAGAATGAACTCCACATTCATAAATTTCTATCCCAAACAAGAAAAGTTTTTCACAGCAACAAACAACAAAGCTGTAAAATGTCAGTTCATCCAGGAAGAAAGTTCTGAAGACAAGCAGCATAATAATCTTTCCTGTGATAATTTACTGTTTGGTACCTGTTCTTGAACTTTGTGCATTTTGGTCAGTGCTTGGACATCGTATGGATTCTCTTGTAACTTTCTCACAGCTTGAAGTCTTTCAGATATGATGGAGCCAATATCAATTTTCTAGATATTAATTAAAAAAAGACTTTCATTTTTTGTTGTTGAAGTCATACCTTCTTATGAATTGATATTTATATAACAGACTAGTTTTACAATTTAATTTTAGTCTAAGACTGATGAAATAAATAAACACACATGGGAGTCTCATTGGCAGTAAGTCAAGGAGTAAAATATTTATGGATTCAAAATCCAAATAGAGTTGAATATACAGATTTAGTGAGTAGCTCAGGAAATTCAGAGGCTAGGGAACGAACAGCTTTTATCTCAAGCTCAGTTTCACTTCCCCCTTTATTTTGTTAATCACTCTATATAAAATTTTAACAAACTAGTTCTAAAGTTCATAACAACACATTTATATTACCTGGCCCTCAGCCAGGTCTGGGAAAATACTGTCCACATTTTTGGGTTCCTCTGATGCAGGTGTTTCAATAATCGCAAGCTAAAGAAAAACTATACAGATGATTACAATGTAACAATACCAGGGTATGTATCATGTTACGGTTATTGGATAAAAAAATGATTTCAACATGAGTGTTACGCTTCAAACATTAACTTAGAGGCCGACTGAATTTCGGTTTTGGTGGTGAAAGTTTCCTTATGATCATTTGTGGCACAGTTTTAGTTATGGGAGAAACAAAAAAATTAACTTTAGGTTGATTTTCAGTTTCAGCCATAAGTGATTTGAGCTTTTGTTCGCCAACCAGAAATCAGACTGTCACTCTGTCAAATGAAAATCCTCTTTGAACAATGCTTACAATAATAATAATAATAATAATAATAATAAGTGGTCTTATATAGCGCGGTACCCCAGCCTAGGGCTGGGCTCACCACGCTGTACACAAATATAGCAAAGAGGCATAATCATAATATTAAAATAAAATACATAAATGAAATAAAAACAACATATAAGCAAAACAACACCAGAGGTATATTCACCTACCCACACCAGAAATTTTTACAAGGAAACGCATGTACGTTTATCGGTTTATAGGAGGGGAATCAGTCAGAGTAGTATAGTTTAAATAGATGTGTTTTGAGTGCAGTTTTGAAGGCCTGTGTGGTTGTTATAGCTGCATGATGACATATTTGTCATATATTTGCAAAAATAAAATTACAATTAGCTTTAGGCAAACGTAAATAGTTTTGTAAAAAAAAATCTAAGGGAATGGTAATATTTCTATAATTATTTTGTTTTAATTTTTAACTATTTATATATATATGTTTCAGTTTTAATGTCAGCTGAAAGTCTCGTTAACATTTTGGTTTAGGCAGCAAGCCATTTTTAAATTTCTGTTGATTTCTAGTTCGACAGAAACCAGAAAATCACATTCGGTGAGTTCTAGAGTAAATTTTGTTAGCTTGTTGAAAACTGGATCGACCTTAGAAATATTTAGAAAATTTGTGGAGATTGATAGACAAATTTTCACTTTAAAGTACCAACAAACTTCACTCTTACATGAGAAACAATTCACATACACCCCCCACCCCTCCCCCGTCAAATTTTTTCTTTCTTTTTCTCAACACTTTGTTAACATCGGATAACTTGGAATTCTTATTTCCTAACCCATAATAATTAAATGCATTTTCATTTCTTAATTTCTTCTTTGATATACTATGCTGCCAATGAAATCTTTCTATGAGCTAAGTTGCTTTTTTTATTTTATATTTTACTGATTTATTTTTCACTATTTTTTTTTATTGTTTATAGTTGACACATTCTGTTGTTTTGCTGTATCATTTCAATTTTTATGTTTTTTTTAAAACAAACATTGTTCTTTTATTACATGATAGTGAACAGGCTTTAGGATTCTATTTTTACATTTGTTTTAATGGAAATGTAACTTTGTTTTTGTTCCACAGACAGCAAACAAATCTTAAGTTTCTTAGCATTAAAATAATGATGAAAATATCACTGTGATATTGGGCATTCACACATATGTTTTCAACTATTGCAATGAATTTTTGCTTTAAATATTTTTTTTACCTGGGTTGACGAGGATGGGGTTGGCGGTGTTGATGTCTTCTCCACTGGAACCCACTCTGACTCACTGGCTCGGTGGTGTGACCCACTTGACACAGGGAATGTTAGCCTCAAAGATGCCTGTTGAGCTTGCTTCTCAGATGGTGTCAGGACAGGGAGCTGTTTGGCATTCTTCCAGGAGAGAAAACCAAAGACTGATTAATAAAGTTCATGTTTAAACAAAACCTCCATCTTGTTCATTTAACCCTGAGTATATCTTGCAAAATTTCTGGCTAGCGAGAAATATCAGTAGATATGAAAATTACCAATTTAAAAAGATGGATCTCATCTCAAAATATGTTTGACAATTATTCTGAAATAATAAAATATATAAAAAATATTGTTTGTTAATGTCAGCCTAAAACCCCAACCCCCACACTTTATTAAAAATTAGCAATCTGTGTAAATTTTACTTTTGCATCTATGTATTGAGTATTGAACTCACTCTTATGTTCATAATAATGTTGCTCGTTGATGGATCTCTGACTTTAAAAGGGTGGTGAATAAGCTTATCTTCATCATCACTTATCTTTGGCATTTCATCATTACTGTCACTCAAGTCACTCTTGGCCGATATCTTTTTGCAAAATTCTTTTCAAAAACAAGAGTGAAATAAAACAAAGAAAGTTTTAAAAGATGAATATGAACATTTAAAAATCACCATTTTAGTACTTGCTCTGCAAGGTTTTGTTAGAGACAAGATATATAAATAAGTTCATTTATAATAAACTTTTTTCCATTTAAATAATTTATCCTAATTAAAAAAGAAAATTATTTGAGACATTATTTTAGTTAAATGTTTCATTTGAAAGGCACATATGCCAGATATGCTTGAGCTTTTCTACCTGTCAATTCTTCTACTGATTTCCCTCCACTTTTAAATGTTGTAAGATCCACTCTGGGTCCTTGGCCAGCCTTCATGTTTTGTAAGGCATTTGCTCTGTTGAAAAATTATCAGCAGCCCCATTTACACAAATAAAAAACACAATACACAGGCGTAAAAAGTTTCTAGGGTACATTGAAGCTGTCATTATCAGAAGCCAAGAAAACCAACAAAAACTTTTGATCAGCACTGCATATAAGTTGTAAATTTAATACATTAAGTGAAAGAAAATTATTTTGAAAGCTTTTATTTTTGAAAAAATTTTTTTAACTCTGAATGCCTGAACCAATAATTTATTTGTATTATATTTGTATTAAATGTGAAAACTCTGCCAAAGTTGATTTAACACTTTTGGGTGTTTAGTGGCCGAGACCAATGAACTCATTTATACAGAACAACAGATAAGGCACATCACTTACATTGCAATTTTTCTAAGTTTGGCCTTGTCAATCTGTAGTCTTAAATCTCTTTCAGATTTCTCCCTGCTGGATTCTCTGTGTCTGTCAGGTCTCTCTCTACTGTGCTCCCTGTTATGATCTTTTGACTTGCTTTTATCCCTGGAGTGAAGCCTATATCCGTTGGTGGGGTGCTCTTTTGACCTTGATCGATCCCTGCTGGATCTTTTATCAATATCCCCACTGTAGCTCCTTGCATCCCATTCATTGTAACAAGTCCTGAGCATATATAAGATATAACAGCTTGAATGGCAAAAGCAGATGTAGAATTAAGAAACTAAGCCTACACTGATTTGATAAGGTTTATTGAAGAACTTCCAGTATTATCATGAGAGTTTGTTCACTATAATAGCAGAGCTGATTATGTCAATGAGTTCATCTGCCAGTGAAAATGCAGATGTGCGTTTATATTGTTAATCAATCACATATCAAATTAGTAGTATCTTCTATTTGGGATTGAGTTTGGTTATCTACAAAGCAAACCTGTCAGATTCCATGCTCCTCCTATGTTTTTGAGGTGAACGAGAACGAGAATCAGATTTTGATTTCTTCAGATGTTTCCGAGATCTTGACCTGAGGTTAAGCATTAATAATTTTTTTTTAACTAAAAGAAATATAAAGCATTTTGACATGGACTCATGTGTATGGAGTTGATTACTCACTTCTCCGTAAAACTGCTATAAATCAAGCTATAAATAAATATTGAAAAAGACCTGTTATGAGATTTTATCAATAAATGTATCAAAGGAGTCTTGAGATTAAATCAAAATTATGAAACGCAAAAATGTCAATCCTTCCTGGTAAATAAAAATTAAATTTCCAAGTTTAAATAAGCTGTTCATATGTGAGTTTAGACTATTGAACATAAGTAATAGATACTTTTTTTTCAGAGGTTAGAAAACACAATAGAAAGTTATGGTTACCCCGAGTGAGATCTTTTTCTTTTCTTATTTGAATCTTCGTCCTTTCTTAGTGAGCATTCACGATCTGGTGACTTGTCTAAAGAATCATGTCTCTCTTTCTCTCTGGTTCTTTCTTTGTTGAGTTTCTGCTGTGAACTGTATTTGTCATCGATTTCCTCATGCAATTCATTTTCTCTAATAGATTCCCCATCCTTAAATTTTTTATGTTTGTCTTTTGTTTTACGCTCTTTATCTTTGGAATGCTTTTTCTTCTTCCGCTTGTGTCTGTGCTTGTGTTTCTTTTTATGTTTGGGATCTAGGGCTGGCCAACCACCACAGCCAGAATTAATAGATCCTGTATCTGAAGGGTAGCCATCATGTTCTGAGTCACTCTCCCCGTTAATTTTACCAGACTTCTCACTGTGAGAAGAGTAGACTTCACCTAACAGAAAGAGAAAAAAAAAAACAAGTTTGGAGTAAGCACCTTCCATTCACTCTTATACATATAGCAATTACAATCTATAAAACTAGATTAAATGTTATTTACTTCAAGTCTAACACATGATTAAAAAATTTGAATAAAATTGGAAAAGATTGTGCAATTTAAAAATTAACTTAATTTGTATCACTTTGTAGTTTACTCACCCTCTTCCCATACTCTGCCATCTCTATCGATACGATCAGTGGATTTAATGAGGGAAAGGCTCTCAGTGCTGAGTTTCATTTTTAATTGTTTGGGGGCGGCCAATTTCTTTGCCACTGAAACTTGCATCATAGACTGAAAGAAAGATTTACCCGCTGTGCCGTCTAGTTCATGCACAGCTATCTGAGGTCCAGCATCGATTGATAATGCTTGGCTACACAGCTGCAAATTGTTTATTGTTATTGGTAAGGATGAAGGTAATGTATCGGTTACCCCTGATATAGTATTGGTTGAAAATGAAGAATTTGTGTGACAGATTTCATTTAAATTTGTTTTGAAAGTAGATGACATTTCCAATAGGTCATTACTTGCATTGGTCATGTTCTTTTCACTGTTTCTAAGTGGAGAAAGATTACTTTCACATTTTTCATTATCATCTTTTTCTCTTTCAGATTCAAAATGTTGTTTTTTGTGAGAAACATTATGCTGGTAAGATTTTGGTCTTTTTGTTAACTTTTCTGTAGAAATGATTTCTTCGTGGTGCAAAGTCTTTGATTTAATGGAATTAATCTCCATATCAAGAAGCCTGCTGAGCTCATCATCAACAGAATTTGTTATATGAGCAGACACTGCTCTTTTGCTTTCTGTTCCTTCTTTTAATGCACCACTGAACTTCTGTGAAATAAAGTCTTTAAATAATACATCCACAATACTCTGTGAAGACTCTTCTTCTTCTTTTAGACCAGACATTTTTACTTTTGGTCCTAGAAGAGTTGCTTTTTTATTTGTTGCTTGTTTAGAAGGTGGAGGAAAGTCTCTACTGTTTGTAGATTTGTGACCTTTAAGAGCTTCTTCTAGCATTTCTTTGGAAGTTTTTTTGTGTAGAGGATCTTTAGGAAAGCCATCACAAGGAAGAGGTATTCCAGTCAAATCAGGGTCTGACATAACCGGAGAAAATTAAATCCTTTCACTGAAAATTATATGAAAAATAATAAATGCATGTTTCTTTAAAGAGTACAAGTAACTAGACAGAGTTGTTAAAAGGTGTAATTATTAGATTGGATTAGCAATAACTGCAAATTAGCAAGATTTATTTTCGACATCATTTAGAAATGTGGGTGGGGGAGAGATATTCAGTAGTTTGGCTAATGACAAGGTTAAATGTTTTGCATATTATGATCATGGTCTACTTTAGCAAAGTCACAAATGGAAATGAACATAAGGCTGTAAATTCATATAAAGTCATAGGACAATTAATTTTGGAGGGGAATTTATCATAGAAAATCTATAACACAAAAACTAATTGTGACATAGAATAGCAAAAAGGGGGAAATTTAATGACAAGCAACTTAAATATGCTTAAGTTTTTAAAAATAAAATTAAAAAGAACAATCTGAGTCAGTATCCTGTAGGTGTTATTGTTTTAAAATAAAATTTTCAGACTGTGAATGCTCATCACATAGTGCAACCTACCAAATGTGTCTTGGCAAGTGTCGGAATAACCTAATTAACTTCAGTAAGTACTACTACTAACATCGTAATAATATTAGTAAGTCTCATACTAACCAACTATTGACATAATAAGCTAGCTTTACAAAATTTTATGACTGCAATGCAATCAGGCCTAGGACGTACAAAACATTGTATATTAATAATTATATCACAATAAATAATTCTAAATTGTAGCCTATTATTAAACCTAAATATTATGGTACTTATTTGGTTAATAATTTCAATTTTTTTGAAATATTATTTTAGAAAATTTAATCATTTTAAAATATGTCTAAGTTCCTTCAAGCTACCATATTTATTGGCGTATAACACGCACCTCAATTTTAGAAGGAAATTTCAGGGAAAAAAACTAAACATTATATCGGCATATAACGCACACACATGATTTGCCCCCTATTTTTGGGGAGAAAAAGTGCGTGTTATATGCCAATAAATACGGTAATTTCATTGGTAACCAATAAATTTCATGATACAAAGCTCAAATTGGGCGTGTTGCTGCACTATATTATCACTAAAATAAGACAGCAATCAACTTTTGTTTTTACAGCGTCAAAAAGTTACAGGTGAAGTTATTAAATTTACTGAAAAATCTTTCGACAGCAAAAAAGACAACAGACTCAAAGATAATAAGGAATAACATATAATAAAAACACATACCAAAACATATTTTTCAGGACATGTGATGAGTGTATACACATTTTCATTGATGATTTGTTACAAATAATATGGAGGGGGGTGGGTGGGTGTTGTTTTAACAAAAAAAACTGGGCCTTTATGGTATTAATAGTGTGAATACTAACGGAATGGGTTTTGCCAAGAGTTTTATCATAAGCGCAGTGATGTCACTTTGGGGAATCCCAACAGTGGATTTAGAGTGTCGGGGTGTAGGGTAGAAATCGAGGCGCTGATGAATATATTTATGTAAATAAAAGCACGACAAGGATCATAAAGATAAACTCAGCTAACCAAGAACATATCTCTCTGGTAGGAAATGCACTGGAAGCAGTGGAGTCCTTCACATACTTAGACAGCACCATTGACTTAAATGGTTGATCCGAAGGTGATGTAGGGCTAGAATTGGAAAGGCTGGGTCAGCATTTATGCCATTAAAGAAATTATGGGAGTAAGGAGCTGACTCTTCAAACCAAAGTCAGAATTTTCAACACAAATGTCAAAACAGTCCTACTCTACGGAGCCGAAACTTGTAGAACAATACCGAGCATTACACAGAAAGTACAGACTTGCCTTAGAAAGATCGTGAACATCAAATGGTCTAACACATCCCCAACAAAGACTTACTAGAAAGGACGTACGAGGAGCCTATTGGTGAAAACTTCATAAGGAAAAGATTGAGGTGGATAGGGCACACTCTCCACAAACCCCTAGATACCAACAGACAATTCATAACATGAAAAAGAGGAAGGGGGGCATTTTGGCGCATACTTGAATTTGGTGTTTCTTTCTGACAATTTTGAGGTAATGTTTCAAACTTACTCGTGGGAAGTGCCAAAATTAGCCATACTAATGATCAAAGACAACCTTAAAGCCTCACCAGTGGGACATGAACTAAATTCATGTCAGTTGTGGCACCCTTGAGGGTATGCTTATTCCCTAGCTTAATATCGCCTATTAAATCTTTATAGTGCCCTAAAATTTTTTGATAAATTCAAAATGAAGGAATACTTTTTAGCGAATACTTTAATTTATAATGAAATATAATTTGAAAATAGATTACGTATGTGTGATGATTGGCAAGAACTATAATTAGAACTGTACATTGATGTAAAGGTATTTTAATACAGTGTTATTAGTCTTTAAATTTATGAATTTGCAAAAAATAAATGAATAAAAATACTGATGAGAGCGAACAACGGGAAGTAAGCCCTCGGCTTATAATTATGAGCGGCCATTACAATATTTATAATCGAATACTGTAACCCTTTAAAAAGATTAGACTTAAATAACGGCATCATCAAATATATTGAGCGTAACGATATTTAATAGATGCAACTAATTGTAATGGGTTAAAGGCACCAGATTGTATTCTTTTTAAAACTGTTTTAAAAAGACAATTTAGTTGTTTTTAATTTTAAAATATATGATGATTTTATTGTTTTTACCCATTTGGCTCGTAAGGGGGGGGGGGCACTTGACTTTCCCAGGGGGCACTAACACCCCTCGGAGAGATGCCTGAAAGAAACCCAGGCCATGTCATTTACATGCTTTTGTAAAGTTTCTGTTTTAGATTCATTCCCCTTATTTTTTTGTAAGTAGCGTTACATTTTACTTAATATGACGATGGCATGTTTAATTAACATTTGTACTGGTTAATTAATTATAATTTTAAAATTTCATTGCTTGGCTAATTATAATATTTTATTTGTTCCGCTATATTTGAAACGAATTGGATACATAGAAGGGCACTGTATTTTATTCATTTTCTGGAGATTCTTTTCGGTGGAACCTGAAATAAAGTGTGTAAAGGTGTATTCTATGAAACAGTATGTTGGGTTTTCATTATTTCTTTATTTTATAAGGTTTTTTTTGTGGTCATTTTTATTGCTTTTGTTCATTTTCATATTTTTCTTGCCACAGTGTGTAGTAAATGCCACGTGTTTTTTACTTGCAACTTTAAAACTACAACAGCTAAAAATATGATTTTGGTGTTATAATTCTTTAAAAAAATTCAACTATGCCATCATTGGTTTACTTTTTACAAAAACCAAAAACTGAACCTATGCCTAAATCGATCCCTCAACCTAACCTAAACAATACTGCAACTATAATAATATAATAAACATGCGGTAAATTTCAAGAGATCGCCCCAGGGTTTCCGCCATCTTGGTTGACACAACCAGGACAACCAGTTAATTCTGTCACTAAACCTATCACTATGCCTAACATGAACCCTAAATTGATCCCTCAACCTAACCTAAACCTTAATTCACTGCAACTATAATGAACACGCAAATAACGTCACGGGATGATCTCTCGACATTAGTATTAGCCAAGTAAGTGTATCCTTAAACCTAACCTGAACCCTAAATGTATCCCTAACCCTAACCTGAACCCTAAAACTAAAATGTAGCCATATAAAGCAGTGGTTCTTAACCTGGGTTCGACCAAACCCCATGAGTTCGGTGAGTCAGTCTCAGGGGTTTAGTGGAGGTCCCTAGGCCTAGGCTGGGGTACCGCGCTATATAAGACCACTTATTTTTTTTTAGTTATTATTATTATTAAAAATCAGAAAAAAAATCATATTTTATTTTTCCTATTATAAGAAGGGTTCTTGGAATGCGCATATGAAACTGGTGGGCTTCAGTACCTCCAACAAGGTTAAGGACAACTGCTCTTAAGTCTAAAGTTTTAATTTTGATTCAAAGTACCTTTGCCTTTAGGCACTTTACTTTAGCCCTTTACTTACCCGCCTACCCTTGCAGTTGTAGCCTTGCTCTTTCTTTTATGGATTATGTGGTAAAAGTGCAGATAATTGATTTATGCGGATAGATTAGACAAACAAACATCCCTCAGACTACTAGTAGTACGTAAATAGTGTTAGTTATGGAAATAAATGAAAACAATAAATTTCCCAAGGCATAGCCAGATTTCTTGAAAAATAAAAAAAAATGAAATAAAATGTAATCTAAAATGTAGAAACAAAAAAATAATAAAATAAAAAAAGATATTTAAAAATAAAAATTTTAACCGTTAGTTCATTAATTCAAAGGAATACATTAATTGCTAATAAATACAACCAGTAAATATTTCCAACAATGAATGCGCCCTACATTGCCTTTTCAGAACTAAATATACAACAAATATTTAGATATATGAGCGTAATGTCAGTTTTCCATAAAATTAATAGGTCTACACCGCAGTGGCGTAGCGAGGGGGGTGCGGGGGGTGCGGACCGCACCGGGTGACACCATTTTAGGGGTGACACCCAACTGTAAACTTGAATATTTACAGAGCACACACTGCTCTGTCTAACCGAGATTCATAAAAGAATAACCGATCACACACACATTATTCACAAATGTAACCAATCCAAATGCGTGCTTTATTAAAAGTTCAAAGTTGATGAGCCAGAAATAAGATGACCCTATATTTAGGTCAAAAAGACACAGTCATTATTCCACGCCGATTGAAGTGTTCGGTAACGTCCGTAAGTGACAGGAGGCTATATTTATCTAAATTCTGAGAAATAACGCTTTCCATTGAAACCAAATACGATGTGGTCGGGCGATTTTAAGTATAAGAATCGGTTTAAAAAAAACCACATTAAAAATGAATTTTTACCCATTCATAGGGTTAAAAAATATATTACTTTACACAATTTTCAATCTTTTAATGATTCA